TTCTATTTCTCTGTAGGTACCAAGTTTAACGTCATTTTTATTCAATCACAAGATACTATTACACAAATATAAAACAAAAAAATATATTCAGTCATCCTGAGATATTTTATATAAATGTATTTAAAAACGTGTAGGTAACAAAATACGAAGATTAAGTATAGCCAAATGCTATAATCAGTATTACTAAATGAAAATATCCGATTACTAGTTAATATCTAAAATAGAGAATGTGGTATAAATTTGACTCTACTAAAGATAAAATTAAACAGTAACTACACATGAGTGTATTTATTTGATAATTAAAATTTATCAAATATTACGCCCTGATATTTCCAGATTTACTATCCTTTTAACAAAGTCCTCGACAAAATCGGTACCTACTAAATTTTCTTTCGATATGATTCCACATCAAAATGAAAATCTCTGCAGTGTTGTTCACCACATACGACACGGAGTATTGGAGCTAAACGATTATAGTTTTACAAATTGTAACTTTTGGGATCGTTGAAGGACTATTAGAGCTACAATTTAAAAATATTTTTATAAGATACAGAGTGTCCCAAATAAATAAAAAATATCAAAGTTGTATTTTTTTTAAATGGAATACCCTGTTTCTACGATTAAAATAAAGGTAAATTTGATTACGGTTTATTTCACTTAAACCTTACCGTTTTTGAAATATTTTCAATTTTGTGAAACTGCAGCAAAAATTTTAAGGCTTCATTTCTCCAAGGGTATCAAAGTTTTTAATACTAAATATTTACTGAAGTTTACTTATTGATCAGTTACTGTGTTGCAATAATAAAAATAGTACTACCTCATACAGAGTGTCTAAAAATTTATTTTAAATAATTTCTAGTTTTAAACGGCAATAACTTGTTTAATATAAATGGAACGCCCTGTATATTTTAGGAGAATCAGATACACAATTTAATTGTCTATCAAATTGTATTTTACCATTTTTACCTATCTCTTCAAGTTCAAAGTTCAGTCATTTAGACCTCATTTACCCATGGAAAATTGACATTTTAGATTGTTTTTATGTACAAGACGTACAGTCTAGTAATATTATCGTTTTCAGCAAAACGATAATATTACTAGCCCATTTGTATGTAAAAGAAAACCTATTTAAATCTTTATAAAAGAATATACCATTAATTAAGTATACCACCCATTATTTCCGCCCAAATACTAATTAATTACATACTTACTTGTGTTCGTTAATAAATTATTCTAAATAAATGTGGATTTGAATCAGAAAGCAATATATGTAATAATAAGTTATGAAAATTAACGTCTCTGTTGTTATAAATAAGCATTTGTCAAAAAATGAAATATCATTTTTAAGGTGTTACTTTTTACCACACTGTCTAATACACATACAAAATTCAGTTTTTTAGTATTTGGAGCAATTATTATTAACCAACGCAAACAGTCAATTAATGTAGTTTGAATACAGAAATCATAATATTAATTGGTTCTCTTTAACAAATATTTAAACGTTTTTTTTTTATTTTTTTTAATGAAATAAACGAACTATATCGACAATATTAGTATCTGTACTCTTTAAAAATTTGGTACATCTTTAAAAATAATCTAAAATGTCAGTATTCCATGGGTATATTGATAAATGAGTTCTAAATTACAAGAAAATGCATTTTCTACGGAAATTTGAAGAGATGGGTAAAAAATGGTGTAATACAATTTTATAGACAATTATATTGTGCATCTGATTCTCGTAAAATATACAGGGTGTTCCATTTAAATTAAACAAGTTATTGTAGTTTAGAGCTAGTAATTATTTAAAATAAATTTTTAGACACTCTGTATAAGGTAGTATAATATTTATTACTGCAACACAAAATTCAGTAAATAGAAATACTTCAGTACAATATTTGGTTTTAAAAACTTAAATACGCTTAGAGAAATGAAGCATTAAAATTATTACTGTATTTTGACAAAAACCTAAATATTTCAAAAACGGTAAGGTTTAAGTGTGATAAACCTTAATCAAATTTACCTTTATTTTAATCGTAGAAGAAGCATCTGAGTGTATATTCAACAAAACGATCTTTATTTACTTGACATTGACATAAATAACATCTATTCAATTATAATAACTCGTGAGAGAAATATAATAAAAAATTAATAAATGAACTAAAAACCTCAATGCAATTCAATTATTTTTTGCAATATTTTTCGTTATATTCGTTTAAGCGACGAAAGGTATGAGAGGATTTACTTTACAAACGAGATGAATATTTAATAAATAATTTCAGATGATAAAATATTCTTTTTCTATCACTATATAATAAAATTTATTTATTTATTTACAACTATAGGAGTATAAACAGATTATTATCCACTATAATACTTATTTATACAGGGTGAGTCTATGTGAGTTTTATAAGTGCAAATATTTTAGGTGTAGTATACTTCGACCCCAGAAACAAGTTTTTTTCGCAATTTTTTTTTGGAAATTTTTGAATTTTTTGAAAAAATGTTTGATTGGTATGGCACATTATTGTACTTAGGAGACCGAGTTCTTTCAAAACCTGAAATGCAGGTCCGTGTTTAAAAAAAAATAAGTTGGCGTCTGTATCTCATATATTATCAGCTGTATATAATGACACTAGCGAGGCAACGAAATACGAAGTATGTTTATATTTTTATATACAGTTCATACCAAATAAACTTTTAGTCACCTGATTAAGCTTGACCGGCACATCGTGGCCTACTATTACATATTTTTTTTTAATCAAAATATTTTAGGAAACAAAAAAAATTAATTATAAATATACACACACCGGAAAAGTCTAGGGATATTACAATTTTATCCAGCCATCGTCAGTAATTTAATTATTTGCATTTCTGATATAATAAAATTAAAATAAACAAATAGTTTACAGGACGTATTGGAAATAAAAATGCGAAATTTACCGAATTTTTCAAATTTACCTTGATTTTTATTGAACTTTTATTGATATTTATTAAACTCAAAAAAATACATACATTTTTTTTTTATTCTAAACTGTGAATTATAGAAAAAGATAAAACCGTTTTTACTTAATAAAGGGTATGGCCTCCTCTACTGTTCATTACAGCCCTACATCATCTCTCCATGCTCCTGATCAGGTTGTCTCTTCTTGAGGTACAGCCTGCCACGCTGCATTCACGGCCCGAACCAGATCCCTACGAGTTTCACGAGGCATACCCATTCACAAAATTCTTCTTTGGACCGTGTCCCATACGTGCTCGATGGGGTTGAGGTCAGGAGATTGTGCCGGCCAGGGTAAGATGTTTAATTGATGAGCATTGATAAACTCATTTACCACTCTGGCTGTATGAGGCCGTGCATTGTCATGCATGAGAGTGAAGTTTCTCCCAAAATCATTTGCATATGGTAACACGACAGGCTCAAGAATTAAATCACGATATGTGATTCTTATGTATTTTATTTTGAATTCTTTGTATTAATCTTTGTATCATTTATGCATGTATATTTGTTTTAAATATTTACAGGGCTGTGCGACACAAAAACATTTACTGTTTTTGTTTTTGTGTATCGGTTTTTTTTATAATCGCGACACAGTCCCATTTACTTAATTTTTTCTCTTTGTTTATTGTGTATATTAATGTTTAAAAAAAAAGTAAATAAACTATTTTGATTTGATTTGATTTGATTTGATTCCTGTTAGAAACCTTTCAAGAAAAACGAGATCGGTTTTTCGGCCTAACTGGACTCCTCCCCAGACCATAATTGTTCCACCTTGATAAGGGTGCACTTCCTGAACATGATCCAACCGAATAAGTTTTCCCGGTTCTCTTTATACCCTAAGCCTTCTCGAATCCGGATGAATTCCAAAGCGTGACTCATCCGTGAAGAGAACATTGGCCAATTGTTCATTCGACCACTGATGATCTTGAGCCCACAAATATCGTACCTCTCGATTTCCTCTCGTTAAGGGTTGAGCTCTCCAGGGGCGTCTGCTTCTTAAGTTGACCTCTCTTAATCTATTGCGAACAGTGTCAGGACTAACGGTTACATTATGTGTTTCCTGGAAAATTAAACTAAGCTCTGGTGTTTAATTGTAAAAAATGATCTTGCTGAGGGGTTGTAATGCGATCTCGCCCTGTGTGCCTTTCAGCAACATTACCACTTTCGCGGTACCTCTAGCTACGTCGAAAAAAAAAGAAGAATAATTTGAGTGTACTTACCATACTGCTCTAGTACTGCTTTGTACTTACCACACTCGCTAGTGTCCAACTTTGACTGAAATGCTCAATTACCTGCAACATCACAATAAAACTGCCTCCCCCAGAAATAATGCCGAAAGGTAGTTCCTTGGGGAGATACTCAAAGCGGTTTGTAGAGGTTTTTTAATCGGTAAGGTACCTCAACCACCCCGACAATACCATTTACGGTCTCTGGTTTGCAGATTTTTCCCCCACGAAAAAAAAAAGCTACGTCGATTTGGCGCATTCCAGCTTCGAGCATACCCATGGTTCTTAGCATTTCGTCTCTGTTAAGATGTCTACGCTCTATAATGTCGTTTAATACTAAACAGAGTTATTTGAATGAATTCTGGCCAGTTATCATAAAAACATAGCCAGTACAGGTTAAATTCGAACAATTTATGCTAGGTGCTTTTTATACATTTGACAAAAAATGCACAAACACTTCTGCAAATATCCCTAGTTTAGAAATAACTAGTGTGACTACTTCGTTTCAATCGAAGTAGAAAGAATCGGCCTACAAATATGTGGTTGTTTATTCAAAACATTTATTTTTAACTTTAATAAAATGATATCCCTAGATTTTTCCGGTGTGTGTATTTCCTAGCAGTATTTCAAATAGTACGCTGCACTGACTCGTATTAGCATTATTACGCTAATAATGACCCAGAGCAAATTTACGAAATAGTCAAACACTGATAAATTCTATTTACTCGTTTATTTATTTAAGTTAAAAATAACACAGATAGTACGCCACTGGTGTAAAAACAGAGCACCTAAGTTATTTAATCTCTGATATTCCGTGTTTAACAGTGGTAATGTACTATTCCGCGGCGCCTAGTTGAAACAAGAGGTCAGAATTGTTCGAAAAAGATGTCGTGTCCTGTACCAAACAGAAAAATTGGAATCATCGGCAGGTTGGTAATTTTTTTTATTTAAAATGATATTTTATACCTTACAGTAAACTTTGCCAGAACAAATCTAACTGTATTGAGACTATTCGTTTTTATATAATTACAAATTAATTTATGAATTTTTTAAATGTTTTTTATAACAAATTTTCTATAACATGGGTACATCTTTCTGAAAATTATTTTTCTACAAACGTTTTTTGTAATGCAAGTTTTCAGTGTCCCTGTATCATAAAATGTAATTTTATGACACAGGGACCGGTGCACAGGTGTTAAAAGTAATGTACTTTTAGCACTTTATTAAAAGTGGTTGAAATCTAGCATTGATGGGAACATAGAAAAACACAGAAAATTTCAAAGTTTCAATCTTTTTGCTTAAGACTTCGAACTTCAACATAATTCAAAAATACCTTTGTTGGTTAAAGTGGCGAATACAATCGCTTTTCGAACTCCCAGGAATGGTACAATTGGATTGTTAAGTGTTTATAACCATTCGGTGGCATTGAGGAAATGGATATCTTCCATTATACCCTTCCCGGCAAAATCTACGAAGTTGTAGCCTTCGAGGAACCCATACAAATCCAGGGTGGTAAAAAAGTAAAGCTTTTGGATACTGACAGCTCTCGGTTTCTTCCGTTCATTTTCAGCGCCCACCATGAAATTTTGACACAATTTCAGTTGCAAAAATGAGTTTTGATTGTTTTGGTTTTAACCCTTTCTTCGTTTCTTTGTATTTGTTAAAAATTCGATTTTGCCTCGATATAATGCATGGGAGAAAACCCGCGTTTCACTTCGCAGGAACAACTTTGAGTTAAACAGCTTACTTTCGGTAATGCCTAAATAATTTTATGCATAAAATTCCATACGTAATATAATAATAAATAATTTTATGCATAATATTCCATACACTGCCTAATATCAAATTGGTATTCTATAACCTAGGAGATGTATATAGTCTGTTCCGTCGCCGACCTGGACATAGGGAATCCGCTGTAAATTTTAAAAATTATGTATATATTTTTCCCATTTCATTTTGCAGAAAAATTTATTTTAAACTTTTTAAAGAACTCCGTAAACATGTAAAATTAAATGGGGAAAACTTATTCATCATTTTTAAAATGTATATGGGATTTCCTCGCGGACCTGGACATATCAGGTCCGCGATGCAACACACGGTATACTATATTTTATTTTATACAATGCTTGAGTTTAGAATTTTATATAATACCTAGGCATTCTATACAATGTCGGATTTCAAACTCCTGTAACATATAGCTAGTCAAATCTGAATTCATATGTGTTTGCTTTTTTTTCCTTTTGTGTATATTATTATTCAGATATCTTAAGTTAATATATACATGATCTGTTATAACAATCAACGTTTGTAATTGGAATAATTTAAATATTTAAATATCTAATAAAAATTTCCGTAACTTACTAAAATATAAATAAGATGACAAGCTTTTAATTTCATGAATTTTCCAAGAAATATATGTATAACAATCTGTATATCAGATAGGTACTTTGTTTTTGTTTTGCCAATGATTTGAAATTTAGTCTTAATTTACTCTTAATATATTTTACATTAATCAGTTTAGCGTCAAAATACACTTACAAAATTGTTATAATTAACGATCATTATTTATAGCTGTAAGATTAGTTAAACACTCAACTATTATCTCATAATAACAACAACAAAAATATCGAGCAAGTTCATTGATATATACAGGGTGTTTCAAAACAAATGCGACAAACTTCAGGGGGTGATTCCTTGTTCAAAATAAAGGGTAGTTTGCTTCATAAACGTTGGGTCAAAAGTCAACCATTAGGGAGATATCGCGGTACAAAGATGGCGGAAAAATACTGTTTTTATTTTTTATCTTGAAAACGAAAAGAGATAGACTAATGAAATTTTATGGAAGCATTACTGTTATGAAAGCACACTTTCTGGTAATTTTTTCACTTTTTTAAAATGAGTGGAAGGGGTTAAAATAAACTACCCCTATCATTCTTGTTAACGAAATTTAACGAAAAATCTTATCAAACACATGCAAAAAAATTAATTTGGATAGCTTAGTTTGTTTAGAAACTTTTTTATCTCTTTTGTTTTTTTGATAAAACTCACCGATTTGAAATTAAAAAATAAAATGTAAAGCATTATATGTCAGGACAAAAAACATTTTTAGATTAAGAATCTAGTGATAATAACGATAATAATAATAATCTAGATAATAACGTATTGCAGTTTCACATAAAATAATATTAGAAACATCCTAAAAAGTGACAGCGGCCGACTAGATTTTTTCCTAAAAAAATTACAGCAGCCCACTAGATTCTTTATCTGAAAATGTTTTTTGTCCTGACATGTAATGCTTTACATTTTATTTTTTAATTTCAAATCGGTGAGTTTTATCAAAAAAACACAAGAGATAAAAAAGTTTCTAAACAAACTAAGCTATCCAAATTAATTTTTTTACATGTGTTTGATAAGATTTTTCTTTAAATTTCGTTAACAAGAATTATAGGGGTAGTTTATTTCAACCCCTTCCCCTCATTTAAAAAAAAAGTGAAAAAATTACCAGAAAGTGTGTTTTCATAATAGTAATGCTTGCATAAAATTTCATTAGTCTATCTCTTTTCGTTTTCAAGATAAAAAATAAAAACATTATTTTTCCGCCATATTTGTACCGCCATATCTCCCCAATGGTTGGCTTTTGACCCAACGTTTATAAAGCAAACTACCCTTTATTTTGGACAAGGAATCACTCCCTGAAGTTTTTCGCATTTGTTTTGAAACACCCTGTATATTGTGTGGAAAAGTTCGTCATTAAAACAAATATTGTGTATCAATTTATTTTTTATGTAGAAAGCCACTACGCTAGGTATCTTAAAAATACGATTTGGGCATCTTTTAACCGGCCAGGACAAGACACGAAAAACATTAGACGATCAAAACTATTTTTCCAAGACTCCTTGATTAAAAATGAGTGTTTTTAATACAGCCATGACACTTAAAGCGAAAATGTCAAAAGTTGACAAAGTTTTAGTAATTTCCTGTGAAACAGGAAGTGACCAAAAACAATTGAATACGTCAATCAATCCTAATTTATGTGATATACTAACATACCAAATGTCAGTTTTTTATCTAAAAAAAATAAAAAAGTTACAGAGGTGAGCCACTTTTGAAACGCACCTGGTATAATAGAGGATATTATTTAGTTTTTGTTGACTTCTTTGACTCTCTTTTGTATATTTTTGGTTAGCGTTTGCTAGGTATTTGGGTATTGCTTTTTAATAATACAATTCAATTTAACTTAATCTTTAATAGTTTTCCAACGTTTTGATCACATTTTGATATCTTCTATTATCCCTTTTTCTCTATCGCCTCCTTGGATCAATTCCTATTGTGAGGACTTGTGATGACTCTCCTCACTCGAGTTGATGACTCGCCAACTCGATATCCTTACATTGGAGCCTGGATGAGCCTCAGCAGATAGGTGGTGTCTTTCCCCTTGGTCCTCGGCAGAATGACCGTGATGGTCGCCTTTTTTAGGAAGTTTTCTCCCTTCACTACAACCAGTCCTGACCCCTGCCAATTCTTAGGTGTTTAGGTGCCGTTTAACTACAAGCTTAGGTGCCGTTTAACCGGGTTGGCTGCACCAACCAATCTGCAGATTGTTGAGATACACAATCTATGAGGGAAAATGTGTATCCCCGCAAAATTCAGCTAACTCACATTTTGTGGATCCTTGCGTTGCAATTCGTTCACTGATGAAAAAGATAGACTTGAACTAAAGTCGTCATCGTTCTTGAAAAAAAAAATTAGTGGCAAGAGAATTTATTTTAGCCTAAAAGAAAATATTTTGCCTGAAGAAAAACTCTCTTAACTCAAGAAAACTGGTTCTCTTGAAAAATTCGAAAATTTCTCTTGAATCTATTTTCATTCAACCAAGTGCAAGTTACTTTGTTTTAAGATAATAAGAAAAATACGCTAGGGAGTACTTCATTCAAGAAACATGGTCATTTTTCCAATAGCTAAATACTCTTTTGATGAAAAATAACAACACGCAAAGACGATGACGAAGGAGGGTATATACAATCAGTCGGCAGTCCGATCAGTCGTACATCATAGCACGTACGGGTTTTGTTGCTTGGCATTTTCCACTTGGAATTTTGCATAATTTGCTTTTTAAACGCATCTCGTATAACAAATTAGTGATCGTTATTCACATGCATTTGTCATTTTTTATGGACAAATTTTAGGATATATGGATTCTTTAAAGGAGTTTCTGAAAAAATGGAAATTAGAGCATTTATTTTGTTATATTTGAAGGTAAGAGACATTTACCTAATGCACCTGTTTAGATAATGCATTCATGACTATAAGTAGAATAAGATATAGGTACCGATTTTTTAATGCAAATAATAACAAAAATTTTAGAATTTCAAGTCGTCGTATTAAAAAATTCAAAATGTGACCAAACCTTATAATTTTAATAATTTATTTGCTTTACTTTGATTAATCGTGATGTAACATTTTTTGGAAATTTGTAGAGTGATGAACCACCCCAAAAAATACAAAGAGGTGAAGAAGCAGAAATAACTACTATCGAGGAAAATAATATCACTTTACTTACTACAGACCAGGAAAACCTAAATTTATCAGAAAATAATATAGCTCGTAATATGCCTGTATATGATGTATAGACTTCTCTTAGATCAAAATAAATTTTAGTTGAGTCAGTAGTATTCGCTATTGGTTTAAGAAAAGTGTCTCTTTAATCAAGAAATGTCCAAGATTTTTTGCATGAATCAAAGAGACTATTGTTCTTGTATTAAGAACTTCTTTGCATATTCGTTTTGGGTCAAGAGTGAAATACTTTGGACAGATAGATTCTTCTTTTCTCTAAAGTAATTTTTTAAAACTTATGAAAAGATAGTTAATGCTTTGGGCAAAGAAACGTCGCTCTTGGCCCTATTGAAAAGCGCCAATCTTTTGGGTCAAAGTCATATTCATTTCGCCTGCGAAATCCTTTTTTTCAGTGCGGTGTTAGGTGTTGATGACCACCGGTGTTTCAGTCGGTGTACTGGTGTCAACACCGACACCGGTGTTTATCTCAACACCGGTATTCATTTCAGCACCGGTTTTTATCTCTACACCGGTGTTCATCTATAACACCGGTGTTTAGCTCAACACTGGTGTTCATTTCAGCCCGGTGTTTATCTCGACACCGGTGTTCATCTACAACACCGGTGTTTATCTTGACACCGGTGTTTATCCCAACACCGGTGTTTATCTTGACACCGGTGTTTATCTCAACACCGATGTTTATTTCAGTCGATGTCGATAGTGCCGTTTGTTTTTTATTTTACAGCTATGAATTTTTGTTTCTTTATGTTTTGTTTTGTTTTCTATTTGTTTTTGATTAAACAATTTTTTACTTTATAGTAGTTTATCTGATGCTTCCACTTTATTTTAGTAATTAGTCTGGCAAAAAAATATATTTAAATTTGAAAGCTTTAAATTAGAATCGGTGCGAAATTAATAAACGATAAAAATAAGCACCAATACGACATATTATTATCAGGTTTATTTTGAATTTATTAATTAAAAATGATAAATCTAAACATTATTTCTTCTTTAACCCGTTTACCAAACACCGGTGTCGATATCAAAACCGGAATCAAGATGGACACCGCGGTGTCCAGACCAACATCGGTGTCGAGATGAACACCGGTGTCGTAGTCAAAACCGGTATCGAGATGAACACCGGCGTCCAGACCAACACCGGTGTCGGTATCAAAACCGGTGTCAGCCCAACACCGATGTTAAAACGGTGTACCTGTGTTTGGAACAGGCCTAAAATGGACTCTTAACTGTTGCCCTTAATTTTATAGTTTAATTGTTTCTTTAACCATTAGTTTATATCTATATAGTTTTTTTTTTAATTTTATTATATTATTGTATTTTTAGTGGTCTTATTGGAAGATCATGGGCCATGCTTTTCGCGTCAGTGGGATATAAAGTCTACATATACGATATCCTACCTCAACAGATTGAAACGGCATTAATCGATGTGGAGAATCAATTGAATCAGCTGGAAAAGACAGGTTTACTCAGAGGAAAACTTACAGCAGCTCAGCAATTTAACTGCATTAAAGGTAACAACACTTAACAAAGATATAAAATAAATTATCGGAACAGAAAGGCACTATAGTTCTTAGCATTGTGTAACATTCTTATTCTTCATATACGGTGTGTTTTAAATAATGACCCTTATTGGTATTTGATAAGCATTAGAAATGCGACTGTCAACTAAAACTGACAACTAAAAAAAATACCAATGAGATTTCTAACTTTGTACGTAACAAATGTTATTTTTAGGCTCGACAAATCTGAAAGAGGCCATAAAAGATGCCCTCCTCGTTCAAGAATGTGTTCCTGAGAACCTAGAACTTAAAAGGAAGGTATGGAAAGGCGTAGATGACATTGCCAGTCCTGGTACAATTTTCTCCAGCTCGACGTCTACATTCCTACCATCAGCTTTTAGCGACCATTTACAACATAAGTAAGTAATGGTCTTATTTTCGAAATTCATCTGTCGAAGACATCTTAGAAATGACAGAAACTACAATTTGCATTTGAATTAAAATGACAGACACAATTGCCACTGACTAGGATCCTCCTGTTGGACAGACTATAGCATTTTCTAAATTTTATCGAGGACATGGTTTAAAAACCTTAATCAGCTAAGTCACAGATTGTGGCTATGTTTTAAAGCTAATAATTTCTAAACTCTTAGTAATGGTGATACTGCCACATTTATTTTCTTTTTTATTTTGTTTTTAAACAAAATGTTTGTTTACTTTGCCTGTACCAATCAATGAAAGACTTTTAAATATAAATTAATACCTACTTAATAGATGCCACTAAAACCTAGAGAACACACTTCAAATGCATTTGATTAAAACGATGTAAACACTACAAAAACGATCTAGAGTAAATAATAAGCAAGACAAGAAAATTTTGTTAATAATAAGATTAATTATGAAGCTAATTGAACTTCAGCATATTTAGAAATACAAGTATGTAATGAAATATATTGAATATACCAGAAAAAGTGGGTAAGATACTACAAAATTAAATCGGAAATCTCAATAACCTCAATAAATCGCCACTATGCGTTTCTTGTAACATATTTTTTTTATCACGACATGGAATGTTGTTTTCCAAGTACAATTTTCATATTTTATTAAATAACTAGTTTGTTTATTTAGCTTTGGCTTAGGGATACGTAAATATATTGATGGTTGTAAGAAGTCTAAATATAGGGCGCACTTTAAAATTTATTGAAGTGAAATGAAATTAATATTGATGAAAAATTGCGGAATACATACCTGCATATCGTCCTATTGCTGCCAAAAGTCAACAACAAACATTTTTCCGAACCTGAAAATTCAATCACTAACTGTATTTGTGTCAAGGGACAAACAATCGAACAAGTGACCTCAATAAAGTATTTAGGAGCTAACATCAATAGTCAGAGCGACCCGAAAAGAGAAATATTTTCAAGAATTGAGCAAACGGGAAAAATCTTCGTGAGAATGAAATCATTTTTTACAAGAAGATACCTCAGTGCGGATCTCAGAACTCGAATGGCCAGATGCTACGTCTTCTCTGTGTTACTCTATGGATGTGAGAGCTGGACACTGGATTCACAGACCGAGAAGAGAATAGAAGCCTTCGAAATGTATATATACAGACGGATGCTGCGAATCTCATGGGTACAAAGGATCACCAACCATGAAGAACTCCAGCGCATGCAGAAACAAAAAGAGATACTGAACACCATCCAGGAAAGAAAAATGCAATACCTGGGTCATGTGATGATAGGTGGTAGATACGAAATGCTGCGCCTCATAATAGAGGGCAAAGTGCAAGGGAAAAGATCAGTAGGAAGACGCCAGAACTCATGGCTAAAAAATTTGAGGAGATGGTTTGGACGCTCGTCTGCGGAAATCTTCCGGGCTGCAGTTTCCAGAGCCACAATTGCCATTTGGATCGCCAACCTTCGGCAGGAGAGGGCGTGATAAGAAGAAGAAGAAGAACTGTATTTTGAAGCGGAGAATCGATTGAAAAAGTCATTAACTACGATTTCTGGCTATTTATGTTGTATTTTAATACCGAATAGTTACTAACTATAACATTTTTATGCAATGCAATTCATCTTTAGACGCGTTGTTCTCGGAAGTAATAAAAAGTAAGTTAGTGACTTTTGGCAGCAATGGGACGATATATTCTATATCAATTAAACATTTAGTTACGTAATCGAGGGCGTGATTTTTAAATTCATTGTTGCCAACCATGGAGATTTTTGGCGCCGGCGCACAGTGAGGCAGAAGTTCCCAATAGTTGCAGAAAATCAAAATATCGGAAGTATTTTTTTTTAATTATAATTTCACTCGTATCAGTTCCCAATAGTCCATATTTATAGAATCGTAAAGATTTTTGAATAAAAACGGGCCCATTATTAATCCCTGATAAGAAATGTTCGAGCTTATAAGATTATTAGCTGAAGCTAAAATATTTTGATTAAATTTTGATTAAATAAAATCAGTGCGTTTAATGTTGGTGATAAGTTAGCTAAAAACTCTGAAAAAGGAAAATGTACTCTGAAAAAGGAAAATGTTTTCAAATGTTTTCCCTCATTGTAATTCTAGTTTTGAGTTCCCTGGTACCATAAAAAAATCAATAAAAACCTTGATGTAATCAAGAACTGCTTCATCTAAAATCACATTTTAGGTAAGCTAATACAAAATGCTCCAAATTGCTCCAAAAATATGATGTAGGTTACAATTATTAGCCTTTTTTCTTCATAACTCTGAAGTTTCATGACCAACATTAACCTACAAATACCCATTTGGTTGCCTAACTCTCCCGAAGACCATGATTTAGTTTCCCAAAATAAATTACGTATGACAATATGTAAAATATTGTTGTTGGTTGTTTTTAATTAGTTTTAGAAAGGAAACTGGTAATATATTTTCTCTAATTCAATTTAATTTTCGTTATACAAGGTATTCAAATTTATAAATAAATTTTTAATGTGTAATTTTAACTAGATTTTCCCAGTTAATGCTAAGTTTTTTATTCGTTTTGTGCTTATATGACATAAAATTTAATATTATTAGAAACTTCATTAATTTTGAATATTTATTGTTAATATAAACTACAAAGACGTGTCAATGTGTCTATGATGCATCATCATTCAGTCAAAAACTTTTATCGACAATGTCATGCACCTTCTACTAATTTTCTCGGATATAGTAAGAGATCACCAAGACTTCTCCTGTCAAGTAAAATAGAAGAATAAAATAGAAGGCATCCTGAGGCTCTAAAACTTATTATAGATTAAATTATTTTTTTTATCCATTTGCTAAATCCATCTTAAAGATATTATCCATCTTATCTAGAAGCTTTAAGATATTTTTAGTTTCTTTTTCTTGCGTATTAAGTTCTTGTAACTAAGTTCTAATTATAATCTAAGTATAATATTTTTATCACAGGTAATTACAGATATTTTTAAATTATAGTATATTTAAAAATATAATTAAAGTTAAATGGTTGTAAGTGAACAATTATTTACATCTAATGCGAAAGGAGCGTTCAGTCTTTTAGTTGTTTTGGTGTTACTTTGTTACTTTCATTAATAGCTACATAAAATATAGGTACAGATGTATTTAGTTTCTTTTTTTTTCTCATGGATATGAATATAAATATATTTTTTAAGTTGAATTTAAGTAATACTTATTGGTAACTAGTTCAGAAAAATGGATTAATTATATTAAAAACGAAATGATAATTCTATTGCAAGGGGCTGAAAATAAAACCCTGTATATTTATTTATGTGTTTACACAAACTTTTTTTGATTTTTTAAACTTTACAAAGAATAAACTTGAATAAATTTTAAAAATAAAAAAAAAAATATTTTAAAAAATTTTTGGAAGCCACCGTTTTTTTTTGTATTTTGCAGCCCTTTTAGTGCCATGACCATAGAGTATGGTATAATTTTCCACTAGTTTTATTATGGTTTTGATTAATAACAAGGTATAAACATTAAAACCAATTACAAATAATTAAAATATTTATTTCCAGAGAAAATATTATCGTTTCTCATCCAGTCAATCCACCCTACTATGTACCTTTGGTTGAAGTAGTTCCTGCTCCATGGACCAAACCGGAAGTAGCAAAGAAAACCAGGGCGATCATGGAAGAAATCGGACAAACCCCAGTGTCCTTTTCAAGAGAAATTCCCGGGTTTGCTGTGAATAGAATACAGTAAGATTAACAGATTAACAGTTTTGTCGCAGTTGACACTTGTGTCTAGCCCTAGCAGGCAACTGTTAAGCCCGATCAATCACGTTAGAGTTTTTGATAAACACAAATGAATTCTTCTTCTTAAAGTGCCTTCTCCATTCAGTGAAGATCGGCAACAACCATGGCAAATTCCTCTCTATTTTTCGCTCTTCTCAGCAAAGTATGTGAGTCCAGGCCTGTCCAATATCTGATGTTCTTCAGCCAGGAGCATTGCCGTCGTCCGGGTCCGCGCTTTCCCTCAGTTTTACCCTCGATGATGAGCTGAAGGAATTCATACTTGCTATGTCTCATGATATGGCCCAAATAGGCTGCTTTCCTCTCTTTTTTTATTATGTCGAGGAGTCTCGGTCCTTGTTCATTTGGTTTAGAACTCGTTCATTCGAGACACGGTCAGTCCATGGTATTCTCAGCATTCTGCGATATACCCACATCTCAAATGCTTCCAACTTATTCATTGCGCTTACTTTGAGTGTCCACGACTCAACCCCGTAGAGAAGTGTGGAAAGTACGTAGCACTTGACGAAGTTGTCTTTTATATGGATGTTGAGACGTTTATCGCACAGTAGGTTCCGCAATTTTAGGAAGTTTGATCTAGCCATCTCAATTCGAGCTCTGATCTCAATGTCTGGGTTTAGGTCTTCACTAATCCAACTGCCCAAATATCTAAACTTTGAGACTCTTGCTATTGGTGTCCCACCTACGACTACCTCCGTTGCCTGTCTTGCATCTCTATTTATCACCATGACTTTTGTTTTGTTTGTATTTATCCTGAGACCCATTGAGTCGCCCACCGAGGACAGTCTATCAAGAAGTCTTTGCAGGCCCTCAGTGGTGTCTGCAATAACGACGGTATCATCAGCATATCTCATGTTGTTAATCAGCCTGCCATTCACTTTTATGCCGTCTTCTGATCCCTCAAGCGCATTTCGAAATATTAGTTCGGAGTACATATTGAAGAGCATAGGGCTCAATACGCATCCTTGCCTAACTCCACGCTTGATAGGTATTGCTGTTGTTTCAGTGTCCTGTAGTTTTACTGTCGCTACTTGTTGTTCGTATAGCTTTTGGATAATTTTCAGGTCTTGGGTATCCAGGCCTCTTCTTTCAAGGATGCTCAGCAATTCCCTGTGGTTGACGCAGTCGAATGCCTTCGTGTAGTCTATGAAGCATAGGTGTACCTCCTTTCGTTGATCTCTGCACTTCTGCAAAAGCACCGATAGCGCAAACAGGGCTTCTCTCGTCCCCAGTCCCTCGCGAAATCCCATTTGCTGTTCACTTATGTCTAGCTCACATTTTCTTCGGATTCGATTATGCAGAACCTTTAAAAACAGCTTTAGGACTTGACTCATCAGACTTATTAAACGAAACTCATCACATCTTTTTGCACCAGTTTTTTTAGGAATAGGTATAAATGTCGACCTTAGCCAGTCCTGCGGTATGTTTCCGGTATTGTATACAGAATTGAAGAGGTTTACCAATAACTTTAAATTGTCTCCGTTTATTAGTTTTATCAATTCTGGGTAGATGTTGTCCAAATGAATTAACACACTCCAAATAACCACGCTAACCAACCTGATTGGTCAAGCTTCATAGTTGACTGCTAGGACTAGACACTTCTGCAGTTGATCGGTCGACCCAATCAATACCTCTGTCAGTACTTAAAGTTCTAGAGAAAGGTGTACATCACGCGTTCAGCTTCACGATTTAATTACGTCTCGTGATACTTAATTTGTTTATTTATTAACGAGTCGTTGTCATTTTCCCTATAGCTTGAATTTTTTTAAGTGCAAGCTAGAAACACTTGCATTTTTGGTAAAAATAAATGGAATTGAGTGGGTGTTCGATAGTGGTCGCGCTATTAGAACTCTGAATTCAAAAATCGATATCTCGGAATCTATTAGAAATAATAGATTGTAGTTTTTTCAAGAACTTTGTTAATATTTCTGCTGTATTTTCTTTGTAGACAGTATGTGAAAATCTTTGTCAATAAAAAAATTACTCGATTGCTGAAAATTGATATGCTCTAAAAGTAAATGGATGGATTGTTTACAATTTTTGAATGGAAAAAACAACCTTATCGAATTTTTCTTATGTAAACATATTGTAAAATATCCAATCTTGAAAATAAAAAAAGTTTCAATATCTAAAGTGGTTCTTGAGTTATGGCATGTTATGTGTTAAAAAGTTGAGTTTTTAGATTATCGCGATTACTAACGTTTTCTCGTTATAAAAAAATGACACCTTAACGGTATCCTTATAATTCCATTTCAGATGCTCAGAAACATGTCTAATGATTTTATCTAGTTATCTCTTGAAAAACAAGTCTTTTAAAAATAAGCGGTTTGCGATCGTGATTTTACTTTACTTGATAGGGAAAGGCGTATCGGCAACGCCGCAACAGCACACCGTCGCGCGTCGCTTCGACCCAAAAATAACAGTTGCCAGCACGGTATCATCGTTAACATAGGGTGCAAATCATGTGCAAATGATTGAAATTAACAATATATTGATGATAATAATTGGCACTCGAATTATTAATTATAATTGGTATAAAATCAACTTTATATTTAAAGAAACACAGTAACGAAGTACCTTGTAGCTTCCGATTACATAAAAAGTTTGATATTTATAGATTATTGGCCAAAAATCATGCATAATAAAAGGACAGATTTATAAAATATGGTTGAGGTACTCCAAAAATAGTAAATAGTAAACAAAAATTGTGAATAAATAATATTACAGTGTTATGTCTAGATTTATTTCCAAATATTATTAAGTTATGATATTCTTGAGAATATTCGCATTAAATCGACTAAGTTTACCTTACTAAGGTAAACTACTTACTAAGTTTACCTTACTATTTTTTAACGTTACTACTCTTACAGTGGAAAGAGTAGTAGCGTCTAAGTACAGTCTCCAAATGGAAAATCTGATATGACCTCTTTTTCAGATACGCGATCCTCAACGAGACTTGGAATTTGGTAAACGACGGCGTCCTTGACGTCAAAGACATCGACAAAGTCATGTCTGACGGTCTGGGAATGAGATACGCGTTCCTAGGCATTCTGGAAACGACGCACTTGAACGCCGAGGGCTTTGTGGAGTACTGCGAGAAATATTCGAAAACAATTTACGCAGTGAGCCAGGACTTCAAAGAGACGCCAAAATTTGAGGGAGATCAGGTGCCTGTAGTAGCGAAGCAGTTAGAGGCACAGATTCCGCTGAATAAGCTGCAAGCCAGGAGGGATTGGAGGGATCAGTGTTTGGTGAAGCTTAGTCAGTTGAAAAAGGAAATGGAGGATGAATGGAAAAAATTAAATCAGTAGATTTATTCTGACTTAAACGAATTTTAAATCAAAATATTTTTTTTGTTAATTGTTAATGTTGAATATATAAATATAATGTATGATTAAATGTATTTGTTACACATTCTGATTGGTTTCTTAATAGCGATAGAATAATAATTATCCCGGATACAAAGATAATTAAAATTTATAATAAGTGTAATATATTTTTCCCATATTTTTTGTTATAAAATATTGGATTAGAAATTCCAAATAGAAATCATGATGTCATCCTGAAATTTTCCTAAACACTTGGTTAGCCTGTAGGATATATCAACGCATTTTATTCCTTAAAAAGTGCTTTTGGAAGTTAATAACGTTTTATCTAATTTGATACATACAAGGCATATCTTATTTGATACATATAAGGCAGTAGGATCCTTCACCAGTCACTTATAAGTCTGAGGTAGATCCTCGATTTTGGACCTATAATCCTCAGATTTCATTACTACCGTAGCATTCCCCTTGTCTGCCGGTAAGACCAGAATGTCCTTGTCAGCATTCAGCGATTTTAGAGCCTGGTGTTCTTCCCTAGATAGATTACTTTTTGGAGCCTTAGCAGTTCTCAATATGTTGGCTGTTTCAAACCGGATTTCGTCAGCCAGACGGGCCGCATGCTGTTCTAGAGTGCATAGTAAAATATATATCAAAGAGCTAGACGTCTTAAAATACTTCCCATATAACACAACACAATCCTATAGATATCTTGAGGATATCCACCAAGGATATAGTAAATATCTTAGGGATATCCAAAAACCAGAGGAGGATATTTTATGGGATATCCAGATGGGACAAAAAAGTCA